TGTTATTTCACATGGGTGTTTATTCTTCAAGAAATGTTCTTCCCCTGACCTGATGGCCAAAGAAAATAAACTGGCTCACACATGTGTTATTTCACATGGGTCTTTATTGTTCAAGAAATATATTTCTCTAAAAGTTCTGTCTCAAAAGCTCTCTTTAAGAATTCTCTCTAAAAGCTCTCTCTCAAATGTTTTTTCTTTAAAAGTTCTCTTAGGATCTAAAAATTTCTTCTAAAAATTCTCTTGAGGTCCTTCTAGGAAGTCTTCAAAAGTTTCTTCTTCTAAAAGTTCTCCTATCCCACAAGGCTTCTAGTTTTTATATCCACAGGCACATTTAACATCTCTGACAATAGGGCATGCATATCTCTCAGAACCAAGAAGGTGGGTAGGGTCTTGAGAAAAGCAGGTGCCTCACATCTCTAGCCTGCATGTGACTTGCAAAATGTCCTGGCAGACTGAAGTCTCAGTGGGGATGTGACTTGCAACACATAATGTTAACTCATTAAAGAGCTATATCAAAGGAAAGAACTAAGGCTATGTAGTGCGAGATCTGGAGGCTGCAGCTCTTACTCAGCCAGGTGAGAAGTAATTCCTTTCTCTGAGGCCTATTTGAGAATATAAAGTGCCCAGTATATATTCTACATACAGCCAAATTTGTAGCAACAAATATTCTGGAGTTGATACCTAGAATATTAATTGCTACTTCTGTAATAAATGATAAAGGCTCCCAGCACAAAACAGTTTCAAGGCTGCTGTCTGAGACAGTCCAGCTTCACAGACTATTCTATCCAGGACTGCAGATAAGCCTTGTGCTTTCTCATTGCACAAAGACTGTACAACAAATGTTACAGCTAGCTCTCCCAGGACTTGACCACTATCCTAATTTTCTCAGAGGCCACCAAAGATGCCATCACGACTAGACAACAGGAAACAGTCTAGAGAGCATTACACCCACATTCCCAAGAAGTGGAGTTGGTTGTCTTTGGATATTTAATGGGTTATGGATGTTTGTCATCATTTTGAGTCTTGGTCACAAGTTGTTACTGGTCATGGTCAGAGAGAAAGCTAAATGAAAGATATTAGATTCAGGGATCACTTTCTGAAGGGAAAAAGGAGGATATAGTATAGAAATTATGGAATAAAAGGATGGATTTTTGAGTCTACTTTTGAACCATTAGTTTCAAATATTTAACATGGTATTGAATTTTGTATATGAATACAAATTTAAGGTTATTTTTGTTAGAACATACTTTACTCTTGCTTATGGAATTGCCCTATGCAGCTCATTTATTTCTAGTTCTTGAAAATTATTATTACAAATATTTAGGATGATAAAGGAATGCAGGTTAGTAGTTATTCACTTACAACAAAATTATAGTCATGTTAGGTGTATTTTCAAGGTCAGAGACAGAGCTTAGATAAATAGGTGGTCTTCAAACACTTCAAAGACCTACAGAATATGGCATTTAAAATGTTTCAATAATGGAAGGCTTTCCATGACAGTGAGACACGCCTGTTCTTGGCAGCACTAGTTTACTTCAGAAGAGGATGATGGACATCTAAGAACCTCCATATGGAGTTTGCTTTTATTTGTGGCAGAGTTAGTCACTGGGCAAAGAAACTGCCCTTGCCTCACCTTCTGACAGAATATTCTCTAAATTGGATGAGCAGGACACAAAAGAAGACAGCTGACAAATTTTTTCAAGACAAGGTAGGACAGTCCATCAAAATTACTGTTTCACAGAAAAGTCTGCCAGATATTTAAGATAAAAAAATTTTAGGTTGGTAATACAAGTTATGATAAAAAATGGTTTAGGTATAAAACTTTGGACTCACTAAGATAGGATAGATAATAACAGTACTTTCTCCAAATTTGCCAAATACATGTGGGGTTGGACATTGTAAACATAATTCCTATTTGAAAATGTTCTTATTGTATATAGTTTTACTTCATTAAAGTTAAAATCTACCCTTTTTATTTGGACAATACCTGATAGTTGTTCTTACTGTATATAATATTACTGTGTTAGAGTTAAAACCTTTCCTTTTTATTTAGATAAATAGGGGAAAATGTTGCATAATTTTCCTCTACACTGTGTGAAGATGTGTCACTGTGATTGGTTTAATAAAGATCTAAATGGCCAATAGCTAGTCAGGAAGAGGTTATGTGGGACTTCTGGGGACAGAGAGGACTCAGTCAGATACAGAGGGAGCAAGACATGCAGGAGGGGAGATAAAAGTCACAAGTCACATGGCAACACATAGATAAATGGGTTAATTTGAATGATAAAAGCTAATGGGGCAAGTCTAAGCTATAGGCCAAGCTTTTAAAATTAATAATAAGTCTCTCTCTCTCTCTCTCTCTCTCTCTCTCTCTCTCTCTCTCTCTCTCTCTCTCTGTGTGTGTGTGTGTGTGTGTGTGTGTGCGTGTGTCTGTGAGAGAGAGAGAGAGAGAGAGAGAGAGAGAGAGAGAGAGAGAGAGAGAGAAAGAGAGAGAAAGAGAGAGCTGGTGGCCAAAAGAAAAGTCCATCTGCAGATTACCCTTCTGAAGAGCAAAGTGTGTATACACATTTGGTCCATGCCCTGTGGTGCTAGAATGTACCCTGACAGTTAGCACTGTGTAGCTGCTTAGCATCTTTGGCATCATGTCACCATGGGATTGAGATCAGCTCTAGTTGTAGTCTCAGATTTTACTGAAATTGTTGGAATGTTTGATATCGATGATAGTTTAGAATCCAGGAGAGGAGTTTACAAACTCTTGAAATACTGCTAAGAACCAGGCACATAGGTCTTAGGCAGACCCATGGCCCAAGGATTTCTTTTTCTTCTTTCCAATGCTTCAGATACCTACCTCTGCTAAGTGGGTGGTGAGGGGCTATAGACAGACTGGACAGCTGAGGTGAGGGAAGCCCAGGCTGCCACAAGCTGACAAAACCCTGACAGCTCATACCCTGCCATCATGACCTTTGTAAAAGCAAACCTCAGAGCTTCCTCCCCATCTGTGGTGAACAGGTTACTAAGACTGGCAATCTCTGTATGGCACTGTGCCTACAAATTGAAGGTCAGTCAGCTTTTGATCACTGAAGCTTTATATAGAGACTCCAACGCTGAAAGGAATGTAAAGAGCCCGTGCACCGGGGAGCCTCTCTGGAGCTCTAAACGTCGTATCAGAACATAAGATCATGAGGAGGGTGCTCAGTCATAGGTGTGTATTCTCCAGTCTTCCTGTTTGGCTTGACTACAGGGTAGGAGGGGGGTACAAACGGAAGGACTGCAGACCAGCTGGGATTTTGCTGCAGGGGATTGCAAAATCAAGTGATACGGGCATGAACATACCTTGATGTGGGAAAGAATGCATGGAACCAAATAGAATAGCTAAGGAATACTACTACTTCATGCATAGTAAGGATTAAGTGTTGATTTGCATCAACTCTATGTGAATAGTATGTGTGCATATGTGGAGATGTACTGAACTGAGATCCTTTGGCCCACTGTGACTTTAATAAAAAGCATGTTTGCGCTGGTGGTGGCCACCTTAACTCCCAGCATTCGGGAGGCAGAGACAGGTGGATTTCTGTGAGATCAAGATCAGCCTGGTCTACAGAGTGAGTTCCAGGACAACCTCCAAAGCAATACAGAGAAACACTGTCTCCAAAAAACCAAAAACCAAAAAAAAAAAAAAAAAAAAAAAAAGCATGTTTGAGGAACACTGTCAGAATTTAGTACTTTGCCTCATACTTTCGGGATTCCGGATTTGAAAAAAACAAAAGGTAAGATGAAAACTTTGGCAACACAACACTGAGTTTTTCAGAAACTTTTGTTCTTTGGGAGAAATTGTTGATCAACTATTGAGACATTGTTGAGTCCGGGGGTGGGGGTGGGGGATCCGCACAAAAAGATTATCAGCTAGCTGAGACCACAGTTAGAGTTCTGGCTTCTGAAGCTGTGGCAGTGGGAGCTAGTGTTGGATCAAAGAGATTTTATAGCTTAGAGGTCAGGCATAAAGTCACATTCCACTTTAAGTTTGGCAACTCTTGCTTATAGGATGTTAGGACGTTAACTTAATATGCTTGTGAAAGCCTATGGCTAATACAGTCATTTTTCTTTTTGCTTTCCTTGAAAGAAAGCAAGACCAAGAGTAGTCTCACGTAGGAGGACAGTTAAAAATTAAGGGAATACATTGCAGAGGGTCTCATAGAGTTGTCTGCTGTACCTGCCTAACTGGGGAGCTGGGAGGCGGAAGAAAACTCTAAGGTTACCTCTGTACACAGTGGCTGTCATGGTGTCTGCTCTTAAGGCAGAAAAGGTTGTTAAAGGTTAACAGTGGCTGCCAGCTTTTATATTTTTTTTTCAAAATGTGTTTGGGCTTACAGTTTTATATTTCTATGTTCCTGGACCCTTCAGTAATATAAAAAGGAAAATGAAAACAAAAACCTAGCCTGGTAGTGAAGACACAGCCTTTAGTCTCAGCACTAGGGAGGCAGAGACAGTAGATTTCTGTAGTTCAAGTTCAGCCTGGTCTACAGAGTGAGTTCCAGGACAACCAAGACTACACAGAGAAACCCTGTCTTGAAAAAAAGCCAATAAATAAATAATAAAAAATAAGATAAAATCTGAGGTAGAAGGAAGCTGCCTTAAGAAATGGAATAACTATTACTGAACCTGGGAGAAAGATACTCATCAGAGTGCATGGGTATAAAACAATTTCAGGGAGGAGGTGCTTCGTGCAAATGACTTGACTTGGAAATGAGAAAAGCTTTCAGACCGGTTCTCACACAGCCCCAGGACCTCTCTTGAGTCAGAAACGTGCAGCTGTCTATCCGCCTGTTTCCTCCCCTGCCCCAAGGAAAAACTCCCTATCTGATTCCAGTGGTGATTTGGCAAATTCCAGGAGCGTGAGAGCCCACTGTGGAAACAATCCAGGAGCCAGGAAAACTCTCAGAGGTGTCCAGGCCAGTTTTTGTTTAACGTGTGATGACTTCTGCTGCCCTCCTCATTCCTAGGACACTGCTCGCTTTGTTTCCAAATGCTTCAGCCCGGAAACTGCTCCTGATGATGCTATTTGTCTTAGTTTTCTGGTTAGTCTTCATGGCCTCAAAAGACCACACAGAGGTAAGAATGGTTTTCTATTACAGAATCTCCCAGGGAGGGTAGGGGCTTCACTTGAATGCTACTCTGAAAGTGCAAGAAGTGCATATTCATAGCATATCACCCTAGCAAGGCACCATAAGAAGGATCTCTATACTCGTTGCACAACGCTTGGCATTACCATCTGCCTCAAGATTATCTCTTCCTATGGCCTTAGAGGCTGAAATCTAACTATATCTGTTTCAATACTTTCCTTCCATCATGGAGGTATTCTTTGTATAGTCCACTTAGCGTTGCTTGGATTTTCCCTCTCTGCAGTCTTATTTACTTTGACTCCCCATTTCCTCTTCCCCCTAATCATCTTCATCTGACTGTTCAGTTGTTATCTTCTTGACACCAGCACAGCCCGCCTCCACCTCTTCGTATTTCTCTTGCTCTGCTTGACTTCCTTTTTGCAGTACTTTTCACTTGCTACCATACTCTAGAATTTACCAAAAATTCATTCCATCCGTTGTTTGTTCTCTATCCATTTTCACTTACCGTATGATAACCTCTAGGATAAGAAGGATTTTGGTATGTACTTACTTGTTGTCATAGCCCCATGCCAGAGACATATCAGATGTTCAATTAATAACTTGTCAGTAACAAAGACAGGTTTTTCAGTGCTCTGACACAGGTGAGAAGTAACCATGATTTGAGAGAAGGCACTAACAATGAGGAAGGAGAAAAGTCAGTCAGTTTAAGACAATCTGTAATCAAGTGCCATAGGCTCACACTTCAGCAATTATGCAGTCCAAAAGTACAACCCATCCTTAAAAGGGGAGAGAAAGATATACCTGCGGCAAGTAAGGAGGATAAGGGCATCGTTTGCAAAGCAGTGTTCTTTCTGAAAGATGGACATGAAAGGATCCTATTCAGGAAGCCTATACTTAAAAGTCTATGCAGAAACAGGAACATTCTTGGACTGCCCAGTTTTAAGATGTAAATTCCTGAGCATGCTCAATGTACAGTCCTAGATCTTGTGTTCTGAAAAGGAAAGATGGTGGACACAAACACTTCCGCGCTTTCCCAGTTTAACTTTGTAATAAACCATGTTTACCCGACATTGCCTTTAAGAAAAAGTCAGATCCATTTGGTGATCCTGGCTGATTTCTCATAAGCATCTCTAAGCTGTTCTAGCTGAAATGGAAATAAACAGCTCTGAAGGTGTATACAGCCTTTAAAAAAAAAAGATTTATTATGTATACAGCGTTCTGCCTGCATGACAGAAGAGGGCACCAGATCTCATTATAAATGGTTGTGAGTCACCATGTGGTTGCTGGGAATTGAACTCAGGAACTCTGGAAAAGCAGTCTGTGCTCTTAACCCTGAGCCATCTCTCCAGTCCCATATAGTCTTTTTTTTTTTTTAACAAAGGAAGATTCTTTCTTCTCTTAAGCAGAGGAGTCCTACTAACTGAGTGATGTGGTACAAACCTATGATTCCAACACTTGGGAGGCTGAGCCAAGATTATGCCCTTAAGACTTCTCTGAGCTTTGTAATGAATCTGAGACCAGCTTTGGCTACTGTTTTCGATAGGGCTTCTGTTGCTGTAAAGAGACACCGTGACCATAACAGCTATTACAAAGGAAAACAGTGGAGGTGGCAGTTTACAGTTCAGAGGTGCAGACCATTATCATCATGGCAGGGAGCATGGTGACGTGCAGGCAGACATGGTGCTGGAGACATCTTGATCAGAAGGCAGCAGGCAGGGAACTGTGACACTGGGAGTAACTGGAGCATAGGAGAACTCAAAGCTTGCCCCCACAGTGACATATGTCCCCTAATAAGGCCACATATACCCCAATAAAGCCACACCTCCTAACAGGGGTCCTCCCTTTGGGGACAATTTTCTTTAAATCCCACCACAGCTACATAGTGAATTTGGGACCAGACTGGGGTATATAACAATAACTTCTCTCAAAACAAAAGAACAAAATGGTACCTTGGAGCATTAGTCAGGGTTCTCCAGAGAAACAGAACTTAATAGAATTTATCTGTCTGTCTGTCTGTCTGTCTGTCTGTCTAGAAAGGGTATTTATTAGAATGGTTTATAGACTATGATCCAGCTAGTCTAACAATGGCTGCTTACCAATGGAAGGTTCAAGAATCGAGTACTTATTCAGTCCACGAGGCTGGATGTCTCAGCTGGTGTTCTGTATATGCTAGAATCATGAGGCGATGGGCTCTAATGCCAGTGAAAGAAAGCACTGGTGTAGACAGAGGTTCTGTCCCTTCAGGTCCCTCAGTTGCTTTAGCCCCAAAAGAACACACAGAGATGCTCTATTAATTATAAGGCTGTTGGCTGATGTCTAGGGCTTCTTATTGGCTAGCTCTCTCTTAATTATTAACCTATTTCTATTCCACATGGTCTTATCCTACTGGAGAAGGGCCAGGACCTGTTACTCCTTCCTCAGCTACGTGGGGTCTCCCTCAGGTAGCCTCTCTCTGCTTGCTTTCCACAGAATTCTCCTTATCTCCTAGTCCTGCCTATCTCCCTGCCTCTATTGGCCAAACACTGTTTAATTCATCAACCAATAAGAGAAACATATATACAGAAGGACATCCACCATCAGACTGGCTACCAGAGAAGGAGCAAAGAGGCAAAGAGAGAGCAGACTTCCTTCTTCTATGTCCTTTTTATTAGCTGTCACCCATGAATGGGTGTTTCTGTATAAGATGGGCTCACATTGAATTTGGGGGAAGGATCATTAGGACTCTTTCTGAAGCCTCAGGAGCACTACTGTAGCTGATATTGTTTTACCCTCGGTATCTTAATTATCCAGTCCAGCTGAGATCTCTGTTACACGAAGAGAAATTCTGAAGTCCCCAGTCTGACAATAACTCCTTTGTCTTTGAAGTATAGATATCAACATTTATTATTACAAAGATACATTTTGTAAGCCAGCAATGAGAAGAAATTAGCATTTTTGGAGCCTTTCTAGTAAAACTTGTGAAGCTTCAGGCTTTGAGGGCAGCTGGCTTTGGAATGAAAGACATCCTCCCTCATAGTGGTTTTCCTCCTCCCGTTTTCAGAGGGGTCAAGGCTCTTTCTGTCTCTCCCACCCTCTGCACCCCACTGAGGACAGTTATTTTTTCTATCACTTGTTTCCCCACAGCTGTGGCAATCCCTTTAGCATCCTCTTCTGCTTCTGTGGGCTCTCTTTGGAGAGCTAAGTTCTTACCCGCCCAGAGAAATGTACTCCTCCCCAGGGCCAAGCCTGTTGACTGGCTTCCTCTCTTGCCTGTAATCATTTGCTGTGGGCTGTTTGGACTGTCTTTATTTTAATCACTATGTTGAAAATGCCAAAGGCCAAAATGAAAAGTTGACTACCTGCATGTATGTGGAGATCTCACTGTTTGCTTTTGTATCCTCTTCTCAATGTCAGGGTGGATTGACTGATGAAATGTATTAAGTATTGGTAAAACCCAACTTGACAACTTCTAAAAATAACATTTATTTATAGTAACTCAACCATGCACACAATTGTACTTTAAATTTTTTTCATGTATCTTTTTGGCAACTTTTTTGGACCTTCTGCAGTATGCTTAAGATTTCTGGTTTTGCTCTTAATTCCTTCTGTTTCCTTTTGGAACAGTTCTTTACTTTAGAACAAAACTAGTTTACTACCTCACACTCTTCCATCTACATGCATTTTTTACACAAAAATATATTTCATACTTACAACTTTTTATATATCTTTTCTCATTCTATGTTTCCTTTTTGTCTGTCTTAACTTTTTTTGTTACAGAACTGAGCAAACCTTTTAGTATAATGTAACTTTATATTCCGATGAAAACAGGAAGTGGAAACACAAGAGGCTTGAGCATTGCACCTTAAATATCTAAGGGTTGGTAAAACACGATAGCGGTTTGGAGAAACTTCTGTTTTCTCTTGAGAACAGATTTTAATGAATTCTTTGTTAAGGATTTGAGCCCCCTTGAAATAGGCCTTAGAAACTGCCTTTAGGAAAGGGTATTGACCCTTCACTTGGGTCCACAATGCAACCCGAAGTGAGATGAAAATCTGGTGTCCAGGAAGAGGACAAAACTTGAACAGCAATGGGGATGTTTTCTGGGTCAAGAGAGAGGCTGGAGAATGTCAAACACAAATCAGCTATCCCTAAAGGGTTTTGGATTCTAGAACACCCTGCCTGATTAGGTTCACTCACCTGGGTATCACCCAGAGCTGGATACATGGAAAAATTCTTGAGGAGTTATCAATCATATGTGGAAGAGAGTTGCTTATAATGTCAAGGATCAGCTCTTGCCACATTCCATGTGGCTTGGGCCCAGGAACCCTGGCTAGGGGCACTGTGGGAATGAAGAAAGGACAGACATATAGACACCACACAATGAAGCTGGGATCAGGTAGGCCTCTCTCACTGCTGCCATTACCACGACTCTTACTGCTATTGGTATAGCATGTTTATTAGGTAGAGCATGGGAGAGGGGTTAGCTTGTCTTGGTAGAAGATCTCTGTAGATCAGTTCTCAGGTTGCAAAAACCCAGGAGGAGGAAGCTGTGGTTGCTAGTCTTTGTACACATCAACCAGTCTCTCATAAACACTCATACTCCCAAGGAAATCTTTACCATCCCTCTTGAGCCTGGCCAATGTAAGTGATGGCTTTATCAATTACCATAGGTCAATTAGTTTTAGAATCCTCTACAGGCCAGGCTAAGGCCATGTCAAAATATACATTCGATCAGGACTTCACTCACAGTGGGTTTTCTCCACTCCCCCTACAGGTTCTTAGGGTAGCTCTCAAGGGTGTCCTAGTTTCAGAAAACAAAAGCAAAGGAAGCAACATAAGATGCAAACCCAAAATGCAGAGCATAGCAGAGTGGGAGAGGGAGTCAAGGAACCTCACAATCGTGCTTTAGAGTTAGTGTTCGTGTGGGTCACTGGGAAAGATGCAGGGGGCAGGAGCCACAGCCCCAACCTGCAGCCTCCTACACACTGGGTTCTTTTCAGAGACCTCTAT